ACCTCACCTCACCTTAAACACTTGAGGAGAGCGAGATGCCTAGGGGTTTTATCCCCTTACCCAAGATCTAAATAGCCTCTAGACACATAACGTTGTTTGTTGATGGGCTTTGATCTTTTTTTAGTATCCAATCCTTACAAAAATACTTCTGATCCTGGATTTTTAATTGATCTCATCTGAGATAAAGTCCTGCAGATTTTGGTGGGAAGTAAATTGTTTTTGTGACACAGCAATTTAGAAAAAAAATTAAGCCAATCACAAATTTGCTTACACTAGGAACAGCCTTAGGAAGGAGTTTCTGTGAGCAGACTAACCAGTTTGCCAGTGAGAGGTACCTGTTGTGTTGGCAGGTATCATATGGGGCTACCATCTGTCATATGGATAGAAAACACCTCATCTCATAGAAATGTATTAGACAAGTAGACCTGGAATATCATGGCAATCTCTGGTAGAGTTGAATACCTTCTGGCCTGCCACACCTCTCTGGCCAGCCTAGCTTCAAAGACTACTTTTCCTGAGACGAAACCTGATCCCCTGCAACAGCTCCTTGCCCAGAGAAGTAATTTAGCCTGTATTTCTTTATGTATTTGTCTCTTTGTTTGAGCACTATGCATGTCATGGCTGCTGTTTTTATTTCTGAAACACGTAGCATCATGATGCTAATGAAATCATGTGTTGTTTCCCACTACAGTATTTCCTAAGAGAATATCTACCATACACAGTCTGAAAATAATACATTTTTCAACTTTGAGAGTGTTTCCTAGAGGTAACATTTCCCACATGCTCAGTGGCAAGTAACCTTAGCATTGAAACTCTTGTAGAAACAGAGAATCTTATGCTAAGCAGGTACTTGCTTATGAGAATACTTACTGTCACTCTAGGGTTGAGAAGTCTTTGCTATATTAGGCATACCATTATAAATATAATGGAGGAGTCCATAGTGGGGATGCCATCTTTTTATCGAATCCAGCTGATATTAAGGTCCTTATTTTGGTGGTACACTGTATTTAAGTAAGCATCTGTCAGCGTTGCCATTATAAACACATCTTTTCAAGAAGACATAATTTGGGAGCAAACTTTAAACAAAGCCACAAGTTCTTTGACTCTAAATAATGGATCCACTTAATATGAAAGCTGTAGAAAAGATTATGTCGTTAAAGAAATCTTATGTGATGATGTGACAAAAAAAAATATGAGGCAACTCAGAGATAAATGTAAGGGTATATGTGTGTCTGTCTTAGAAGATTCCCTGTCTTTTAAATGTTTTGCATCTTTAACATTCTTCATTTCAAATCTGTGTGTAAAAAATGGTATATGACTGTGTGCAATATATAATTATAGGTGGCATGTGTCCCATTGCAGTAGAGAGAAAGCAGCCTTTATATGTGATACTGGTGCATGGTTATCTGAATGTATATATGAATGAGTGAGAGAGGGAAAAGGGCTCTTAAACTGCATAAAACTGTGCAGCACTGAGCTATTGGTCCTAATAATTTCTCCTTGTCATACTGTTAGCTTCAGTGAGATAACTTCTGATCTTACGGGTTTTGCTGGACCAAATCCAGAGTGCCTCGTGTTTCCAGCATTGCTTCCAGTAGAAAAGGAATTTTCATATGGATAATCACATGCTATTGTATTCCACTACTCTTGCCTCACCATTGCAGGATAGACCCATCCATCCTTAAGGCACACTGCATATAGGCAGTGACTGCTACAGGGCGAACCACAGCCCATCCTGTGCTGATTGTCCTGCCTGAACAGGCACACCCTACTGCATTTGCCCAGCAGGGTGTGGCTCCTGAGGCTTCCTAGCAGTTTAGGCTCATGGTATGAACCAGCAAGGATTGCACAAGCATTCCTGCAAAGTGATGATGGAGCTGTGTGTCTGATCCTGCCAAGTGATGCCTGCATATTATCCAGGGCTCTCAGACAGCTTGTGCTGGAGGTTCCCCCTGGCAGCCTGCCTGCACTCAATGGAAGGGTGCTGGGGGCAGAGGCTGGGGAGAGGAGAGCACATCATGCCCACAGTCCTGGGAACCACTCTCTCCAAGGGTATGGACACAGTCATCTCACCTCTTCTCTTGGGGAAGATACATACAGTACATACAGTACTGAGCATGTGTCATGGGAAGTGACAGGGAAAACCTCTCAGACAATGAGCATAGCTTCAGCCTTAGAAGAGGTCTCACAGGATAGAATCACAGAATATTCAAGGTTGGAAGAGACCTTCAAGATCATCTAGTTTGACTGTCAACCCAGCACCAGCATGATCATCCCTAAACCATACCCCTGGGTACCACATCCAGACACCTCTTGAACACTTCCAGAAATGGTGGCTCCACTGCCTCCCTAGCCAACTTATTCCAATGACTAACCACTTTTTCAGTGATAAAAACTTTTCTAATATCTAATCTGAACCTCTCCTGGCACAACTTAAGGCCATTTCCTCTCATCCTTTCACTTGAGACATGGCAGAAGAGACCAATCCCCACCTCACTACAACCTCCTTTCAAGTAGTTTTAGAGAGCAATGAGGTCCCCCCAGAACATCCTTTTCTCCAGACTGAACAACCCAGTTCCCTCAGCCACTAACATGTTTTCTAGACCCCTCACCAGCTTTGTTGCCCTTCTTTGGACATGAAGAGGGACAGAAACAAAACCCTGACGCTACAAAACGTAGTGGAAAGAGCAGGATTTCCTTTTCCCTGAAGCAGAAAGGATCTGCTGTTTGCTGCTCTCCTTCACCTCCATCACCAACTTGGTGACTTGGTGAGCTTCACCATCAAAATGATGGGGCCTCTAAGAAGTTGTCTCTCCTCTTCTCCCCCAACCCAGGGCTCAGTAGTGCACAAAGCCATAATTTAGCTCCAAAGGTTATTCTTGAACTCATATTCAAGTATTTATAGCCTCTTGAATTTCAACCTAAATGCAATCTGATAATTACTCAGTGACTGCCTGGTTAATAACTGCTGTGCAATTAAGATCTTGTAGCCTGGTCATTTGTACATACGACAGAATAATAAGGTACCCTTAAAATGTGGATTGCTGTTGTTTTAGCCATTTAAATTTCATTCATCTCCTTGATAATTCTGTTAAAGGCGTACTAAGGTCCCTTTTCAAGAAAGAAACAGAAAGATATTATATGCTTTCTAGTCATTATTGTAAATATTGAATTTATTCAAATATTGTTTGAATGTGATTTAGAAAATAAAATGCAGGCTCAGCTGAATGATGGTTTGTAAAGCAGAAAGAATGAAACTCCAAGGATATGTAAAAGAACTCCTGATTTCTATTCCACCTAAAGACGTCTTGATTTCAATAGAAATTTTGCATGAGTAAAGACTTGGCAAGGTTCGGACTCTCATCTTTCTAAAAGGTGTCCCTCTTGAGGGATGTTTTAAGATCTGTGCAGAACAATAGCACAGAAGAATGACAGTCTGATCCAAAACTCATTGAAATCAAAGTTTGTATTTCCATTATTCAGAAGAAGATTATATAGTGATGTACAGGAAAATACCAGGAATTATTCCATCAGCCTTCACAGGAAAACATTCAATTGTAAACATAATGGCAACCATTATGTTTATAGTTCCAAGAACAACAGCTCTTTGTCTTAACACAGTATTAGAACAAAAAATATCTACATTTTTCATTTTTTTTTGAAGATGGTGAAACTATTACTTTAAATCATTCTGAGCAGGACAAAAAGATGTCTATAATTCAATAATCTTTTGCATGAAACAGTTTTGAGGTACATTGTGATTTTTATCAAAACTTGTAAAATTCCTATATGAGTATTTTTCACGTTTCCTGATGAATATTTTGCTCATTTACTGTTCTCCTTCTAGGATGCTTTTAAGAAATTAATTATAAAAATTATATCTTTATTAGTAACCTACAGTCTAGAGCAACAGAAATAGAACTCAATTTCACATGTTAAGACCATATAAAATTTTTATCTTCATTACATTTTCAGTAGGTATGACTGTTTTTTTCTTTAAAGTGAATGCATTTTAAATAGCCTAGCCAGATGTTTGGCTTTAAAATCATAGAATCTTAGAATCATAGAATAGTTTGAGTTGGAAGAGACCTTTTAATGATCATGTAGTCCAACCCCCAAATAATTAGTTCGGGAATGGAATTGGTCAGCTACATAAACTTTTGGTCTATTTTTCACTTTCACCTTTCCCCAGAGCTAAACTTTTATTCTCTTAAAGCTATGTGTCTAAGAGACTTGGATTTAGATTGCTTTGAGATGCCCATTTTGGCTTTGAAGGGACTTGGTTTTCAAGGGAGCCTAAAAGTTACCTGTTCTCTGCCAATCCACCATCCACCAGATTTCTCAGACTAGGTATCCAGAAGCATAAATCCCATTAAAGGTATAGGCTTAATTCTAGCACTTCTGCAGTTGAAAGAATATTTTCGTTGCAAAATTGAACTACTGCAGATACATAAATCTCAAGAGATGGAGTAATTATCAGTTAAAGATGTTACTTTTCCAGCTGTCTGTCCATGCTGCTAGCATCAGTTACCGTTCTCCAACAGAGGCAGCAGAATGGGAATTGCTCAGTGCAGCACGTGCAGTATTAATCTGCTGTGGAGTGTTGTCTAGTGGAGTATGTCTATGAGTAGTTTGAAACACTGCTTCTAGTAAGGATGAAATTATGCATCACATTGGAGCATTAACTCTGAAACTTTGCAATTATTCAACTTGTTCACTGTTTCATTGCTAGTCTGGATATTGAAAGTATGTAATAGAGCTGATATATACAATATATAGACCATAATACAATGGTCTGTCTGTATTATGAATTTACTTGCAAGTCGTTTTTTCTAATCTCTTGTCCACTGACTTGCAAGGCTTGGGAAAACCCTTCTACTTTGTGTGTTCTGCTTCCATTCCCCATTGCATCAGGCTGCAAGTTCCCAACCTTGTCGTTCTCTCTGATTTGCTAAAATAATTACAAAGAACTTATCTTTATGTCCACTCTTTCTTTACAGCTCCAGAAACAGCTATCTGAGCTGGACGAGGATGACTTGTGCTATGAGTTTCGTCGAGAACGTTTCACCGTCCATCGCACTCATTTGTATTTTCTACATTACGAATACGAGCCTGCTTCAGACAACACCGATGTAACACTGGTGGCACAACTTTCAATGGACAGGTAGGGAAAATCTCTTGTTCATCAGGAAATGTGAGACAATTAATGTTTTCTTACAGAGCAATCTAACTATGTAATGCTTTGGTGCGAGAAAAAACACACTTTTGTAGAAATTTGGATGTTGTATTGTAAAGACCTTTCTTGAATTAGGAGTAGCGCAGGTAGATTGTATCCAGACATGTATCCAGACATGTATCCAGACATGTATCCAGACTTCAGCTCTGCAGTGCACACACCAGTGTGAGTAGAGTTCATGAGTCTGAGTACTGGAACTGCAGGGGTTGTTACTTTTCAGGATTGTCAGGCATTACTAGTGTATGGAGTTTTGCAGCAACTTATTAAAAACAGAGGATGTTTATAATGGAATTTTCCAAGCAGTTTTAACTGCCCAAGTTTTTACACATGGTATTTCCTCATTAGAGAATATTAGTTTTGCTTTCACTGGCATTTTCCTTGCAGAAAATTTCAGTTAGTGATTTTTCTTATAATGAGAGTCAGAACTAAACATTTTAGTTTCAAATTAGGAAGTCAAAAATTATACTTTTTTTTTTAATGTGCTAGTGTGAAATGAAAAATCTCTATTTGGGCAAAATCATTGCATCTTTATACAAATGTTGATTTTCAGAAGTGCATTTTAACTTTTAGTTCTGATATAAAGTGGAATTTAATTGGTATTTCATTTGGGGGGAAAAATTCCATTTCATGACAAGTTCCACCTGCATCTTTCTGATTCCCACCATTGCAATTAGTTGTCATTTTCCCAGTCTGAATCAGCTAGCTTTGTGAAATTTTGGAATTGTCAGTTTCTTTTTTTTTCTCCAGCTTCTCAGTTCGAATTTAGTCCAAACTTTGTAGTTACTGCTATCAGAGTGTGTTACAAAACAAATCAGAGCTCCTTGAATATTAGCCAGAAACCGATTATTTCCTTTAGTGTAGCACGTACAGAATACAACATGACCTGCGAATAATAGCACTGCTACAATGGTAGAAGGTCACCAGTATTCCAGGAGGATTATAAGAATTGAGATCAACAAAACATTTACAGTCTGTTTTAAAAATAAACAGAAATGAAAGAGGAGTATTCTGTTCCACAGGTGCCTCAGTGCTTCATCCTGCACACTGTGTTATGATTTGCTGTGCGCATCAGTGTCTGTTCTATTGATTTTTAATGGAGGAAACATTTCTTAAGTGTTCACAAACCTTTGAGTAAAAAACTGAAATAAATTAAGCCAGACCCTGAGCGAGTGCCATAGTAAATTAGTAAAGCTGGTGTGTGCACATGGTATATTTTCCCCCCAGAATTTAATTCAAAAGAATGAGCTGGGGCTTAGTGCTGATTCACTGGCACTGATGCAAAGTCTGAGCATCTGTTTCCCTTTCTGGATCCTCACTGGGGCACATGTTTTTATTGATAGACAGAACCACACATTTTTATGCAGGAAGAACAACCATCCTGATACTATGCAGGAAAAACCTTCCCTACTTCGCTGGTGTGTTGCTATAAATTATTGATTTGAGTTGGAAATACTTTCTTTCAGCTAAAATCAATAAATAATATCATACCAAAGAGCTGTTTAGCTGCTTTGTTTTCTTTCACATCTTTCAGTTACTGCCTTACTTTTTTTTTTTGTCTTCTTTAAACCACTTTTATTAAACTCCTCCGGCGCAGCTGTAGACATTTAAGAATAGTGTCTCAGATGTAAGATGACAGGTACATAAACAATGTGCTGTACACTACATTCTGCACCGTTCTTTGAAATTATTATCTGAGATGAGAAAAAGCAAAAAAAGATCTCCCAGCATCTCCAATTATAGTCCTGTCAGAGATGAGACTGACATGACTATCGTGACAGACCTATGTTTGCCTGTCCTATAGGCTTGGGGAATGGAAGAGAGGGACGCAGTTTAGGAGCTAACATTGTCTCTAGATGGAAGCTTTGAGACAGACTTCATTCAGTGTTGTTCGTTATTGGTTACTTGTCATCTTTTATACTGATGTGGCATCCCCTTGAGTAATGGCTGAGTTGCATCACTATGGTTTTCGTGTTTTGGCTAGGCAGCCTTTTTAAAGGCTTGGTATGTACCTGGGGTTCAGAAATCAGAGTAGGAGTTACCAAAATGTGAGGTCAGGAAGGGGAAAAAACGTGATTAGCAATACACTGCTTGAAATCTGGGTGAGAATGAGTTGGAAATCAGTTGAGTATTCTTCAGAAGAAAAATAAAAACAATGTCGAAAAACAATTGAATTCCAGCAAAATTAGCTGAAACAGACCTTTAAAAAAATTACCAACTAAATCGTGATCTCATTATTATGCAGTACAGCAGTACATTTGTTTTATCTCAAGTTCTTAAGGGAATGCATTCCTAAAGACTGCTAAAAAAAAAACCAAAAAACCAAAATAAGTTAGTCATGTTGTGTTTAGAAACTCATAATTATAGGTTTATGTTCAAATGAGACTGGTATAACAACCTAAAGAGAGCAGATTATGGAGCATCACCTAGCATATAGTCCCTGTATCAAATTCATGGAAGTGGAGCCTGTCAGTGAGAACGACACAGCAAAATGGAGTATTCTGAAGGGTACTAAGCTGTCCAGCTGGAAATTTATACCAGCAAAACCCAGTTTCCACTTAGCTGACGAAAAACTTCGCAGGCATTATCAGGTGTGCTATTTAAATAAATTATGTATGCCATTTGTCCACCACGTGGAGTCCTTAAAAGGCAATTTGCTGCATTTTTACTAGGCAAGTATTCTGTTTTTAAAACAATTCCCTAAATCTGAGTGCTGATGATTGGAGTCTCCTGTTTAATAGGTTTTCACTATGTTGGAAAAAGGCAAAAAAAAAAAGAAAAAGTATTTTTTCTATTTATTATTTGTGTAATTAAAAGTCTAAAGCCTTCACATACTTTTTAGATTTTTTTTTATTGATTTGTGTTTCAAATTTGTCTGTATGTTTCAGGTTGATAATAGCCTTTGTTTCAATAATAAATAAAAAGAGAGTAATGTACCAAGTGTAGACTAGTAGAGGCAGTATCTCACATTTAAGAAAAAATTATTATATCACCTTAGATGTCATCACGATCATTCAGAAATGAAGGAAAAAGCTATTAATGTTAAGTCAGACTGTGTGTTTACTGGTATGAGTATATCATTTCTTTCTCTTGTAAAGCTTAGGAAGATAGTAGAAAGAGGAAATTATTTTCTCTGATTATGATGATGCAGAAAACTTTTCTTGTGTTTTATGTAAATATTAATAGGAAAAATCAAGTCATGGATTTCGAACGGAGAGAAAATAATTTTGCATGGTCTACTCTTCCTAATTTTTACTAGAATGTTTGGCTAGGCTGCATAGGTTCATTTCCCTTTGTATTAACTCAAGAGGCTTTGTAATCAGTCCTTGCTGTATTTTTGGGTGGCACATCTCAATCCCTAGGCAATTCTCTACAAATTACCCAAAGTGCTTAAACAATTTGGACTGGGCCGGGTTTGATTTATGTTTGCGTATTAAATCTTTTGTTGTCATTTTCATCAGTAGTGTTGTAAGTGCTGGAATTTTTTTTAAATATACATCAATACAACCTGTTTTAAAAATAATTTAATGAAATTTGAGATACTGTTAAAACATATACAAGTTAGTAGTTTTAATCATGTTTTTGTCTGAAATGTTCTTTTGGTATTCCACAGCAATGCCATGTCTCTCATTCCTTCCCTCCTTACTCCCTATTAAAAGTAAATCCCATTTTTATCAATGTGCCATCCTTTTGCCCTCTCCCTGATAGTGAGTCTTCTAGTTAGTGTAAATGTTCACATAAGTCTGTATTCCCTTGACCTGTCACTTTTAACAGCTTTTAGGATATGACTAATTGCCTTATGAAAATTTGGGGAAGGTTTTCCTAAAATGATCTGTGGGTCTGTACGCCTCTATCTTCCACAAGCTTGTTGTAGAACGATGTAGTATATTACTGTGTGAGAATAGGTTGACCTGAGATGTGAATTGGGCACTGGACACTGTTGAAGATTACAAAAGCCCTATTCTGTAAGTAGATCCAGGTGGACAGATCCCTGCAACTGCTCAAAGCTCCCGTCAGATATCTGGGTATACCATCATCCATGTGGGTTTTCCCTCAGCATCAAAGCTTTAGGCAGAAAACAACGGTGTTGATTTCACCAAGCTTTAGGTATCTGAGTTGTAGATGTGTGCATCTGAGCTAGGGCCATCTTAGGTTCCCTTGGATTCGGTGAAATAGGCATATCTGGGGTGCAGTCCATCTGTCCAGGAGACATCAACTTGTCATCTTAGATGACTTGTGCTGTGGAAATATTTATTGCTTTGCACAGCACATAAAATGTCCCCAGTCTGTCTCACTTAGAGAAGTATATCTGCATTTGATCAGGTGAACCCAGGGAAAGAGTCCCAGACAGGGAAGTAGTTTTTCTCATTCTCACCCTTCCTCTTTCAGGCTCCAGATGCTTGAAGCCATCTGCAAACACTGGGAAGGTCCAATCAGCCTGGCACTCTATCTTTCTGATGCAGAAGCCCAGCAATTTCTGCGCTACGCTCAGGGCTCGGAAGTACTGATGAGCCGCCACAATGTTGGCTACCATATCGTGTACAAGGAGGGCCAGTTCTATCCTGTGAATCTGCTAAGGAATGTGGCCATGAAACATATCAGCACACCATACATGTTTCTGTCCGACATTGACTTCTTGCCCATGTATGGACTCTACGAGTACCTCAGGTAAATGGACAGTGGAGCAATTACCACTGTCACCTGCAATTTCAGCCTTTCCACACCCCACCCTTCTCACATACTCTCAAAACAAAGCAGTCTGAGCAGATCTGAAAGAAGCAGCTTGTAGAGGTTTGAGGTGTGAGAATGCCCATCAACACACAAGAATTTTTAGAGCAAAGGAAGAGGGCTGTCACTGGAAGTCAAGCAATATGGTTATGAAAGAAAAAACTCGAGTCTAAATGTGATCCCTGTTAGCCATTAGAATAATTCCCTCAGAGCTGCAGAAGAATCAATTTGAAAATTGAACTGGATTAAGTATTATTAAATGTCCAAGAGCATCATGTATTAGCAGAGATGTGAACTAGGCGATTTCTCTGAACATCCCTCGTTCTTAAAGTCAGTGACAGAAAAAACATGCAAAGCATAACTGAACTTTTTGTCTGTGACACACTCTTAATCCAGTTCCTTATCTTGAAAAAAGGTTGTGAGTCTAACCAGCTCAAAAATATGACTGCAATGCCAGCACCTGCCAATGCAAAATAATGGGCATAAGGGAACTGGGAGGAGTAACATCAGTGTACATTGTATGATAATGCATGTGAGTAGATTCGGCCTAGCAAACTACAGACCTCTGATCCATTAACTGAGCTTTTTTTTTAACAAAGACCTTTTTCCCCTGCAGAGGCTGGTCATCTGAGGCCAAAGCATAGAGCAAGGAGGACACCCTGTGGCCAGACAGGAGGATGTCAGTTCCTTAGTCCTGAACTATTTTGCTTTTCGTCTCTGTTCTAATTTGGTGAAAGTTGGTCAAAGTGTTCCAGTGAGGGTTTGCCTGTAGGTGTTCCCTTTCAGTTCATAAGCCCGGGGTTTTGGAGTGTAAAGGAAAATACACCTTCTGGTATCATAAACTTATGGAGGAATTTCCTTGTTTTAGGCTTAACAACTTAATAAGACATGTATGGGGCCAAATTCACTATTCACAGGAAGGGAGCACCTCTTCTATGAGGAAAGGATGAGAGAGTTGAGGCTGTTCAGCCTGGAGAAATGAAGGCTCTGGGGAGACCTTATTACAGCCTTCCAGTAAATAAGAAGGTGGAGACGAACATTTTAGCAGGACCTGTTGAGATAGGACAAGGGGAATGGTTTTAAACTAAAAGAGGGTAGATTTAGACAAGATATAAGGAAAAAGTTTTTTGCAATGAGGATGGCAAAACACTGGAAGAGATTACCCAGAGACGTGGTAGATGCCCTATCCCTGGAAACATTCAAGATCAGATGGGATGGGACTCTGAGCAACTTGATCTAGTTGAAGATGTTCCTGCTCACTGCAGGGATGTTGGACTACATGGTCTTTAAAGGTGCCTTCCAATCCAAATCATTCTATGTCTTTTAAGGCTCTGGATATCAATCATACTGTTGAAGTATTATCACAGTGTGTTAGCTTGTTTCCTTCTTAGTTAAGGGACATTTCATTTCAGCTTGTGCTATGAGGACTCCAAAATAATTATTTCCCTTGCACACATTATTTATCTCTAGATACACGTATGGAGAGTTGTTATTAAGTTCTCTGTCTTCTTCAATGTTAGTGTTGCACACTGTTATATCTCTTCAGATCAATGCAGGACACAGTAAGGGTAGCAGCTGTTGATACTGATATTTAGTGATAAAAAAGGAACTTGTTCTTCCATGCTGCTTCACAGTGTACTGATGGGAGCCAGCAAAGAAAGGAAGAAGATAGAATGATGTACGACAGAATAATTGAGTTACTAGAACCATAGAAATAATTCTCGTACGGTGATAAATGTATTACAGAACTAAATGCACAGTGATACCACCCATGGGTGATGTTTCAGAAAAAAAACAGATTCTCTCTGAGACCTGTTGCACCTGAGACTTTGTGTTACTCTGACAGCTTTTTATGAGGCTTATATCACCTTAACTCTGACAGTGACTCTCCATTACCTGGGAATACCGGAATTGCTGATCTCCTACTACCAGCTCTTTAAAAAGGAAGTGGAATTTTTTTGTGTGCGGACTAGAGACTTTTATTGCTTTTTCAATAATGATTTTTCTAAACAAAGTATCAGGGAGGTACAGTGAGATTATTTTAAATATGGATACCCTATGTCTTTCTGCATTGACTCTTCCCACTGCCTCTGCAAGTAGCCCTGATTAGTGCTATCTGTCTGAATGGCAGCGACTGTTTTTTAGAGAGATGTACAAACATTTTTATCTTCATTCGCTCAGATAGAACAACCATAAACAACTAGAAATAGTGTGGTATTTCAGGCATCACTTTGGACAGCATGAGCCAAAGTCCCTCTCCCTGCAAGTTTGCTGGTTTACATATATTGCATATTGTATCTCTGCAGATAATATATTCTCAGAAAGAAAGGAATTTTGAAAAACATTTTCAGCATATGTGAAAGCTTACAGCCAGTTTTGAAGGAAAAGCTGATGGAGCTGATGGACCTGTCCTTTTGTGTATCTGTTGCTAGCACTAGGATTTGTGCTATTTGAGCTTTTTCACAGCTGCTAAGACCATTTCAGTGTTTTTTATCTCCATCAAACAGCCTTTTAGTCCTGCCTTACTCTTCTGTGAAGTACAAAAGGAAAGAAATGTATCATTTAAAGGTTTCCTGTTTACAGAACTCAGACACTTTCATGGTCTGTGCTGAGTCAACGTCTTTTGTTGCCTTCCCTCATTAGTTACTGAGGTCATCTTGTCATTGCCCCAGAGGTAAAGGCTCCTTCTAGTTGCTACAAGTAAGGTGTTAGGGTCATGCTACAGTGACTTCTAACATAAAATTACTAGACAGGCTGCTTATCTACAGTTGTCACAGCTAACACTGAAGTTCTTTCCTGACACATTTGTGTAAAATATGCCCTTTGCTTCCAGTGACACATTTTGCATGAATTGGGACCTGGCATCCAATCTCTATCTGCAGGTTTTATACCTATCCTCTGCAACATGAGTTGTGAAGTATTTCTGGCTGTTTTTCAGCATCTCAGCAAGAGACATAGTTCAGGTTGTGCCTATTGGTTTTTATTTGCTGATAGCCTTTGTAGGCTATGCATTCATTGCTTTTGCAGAGAGGAAAAGCATTCTAATGAATTTAACAGTGGATTGACAACTCTTACACAAGCTCTGTGACTGCCGTGTTTGTTATCTCCAACCAACCACTTACTGAGTCCTGATGGTGGAAGCTAATTTTAATTAATGGACTCTTTCTTTCCTTTTTTTTTTAATGAGTTCAGTGCTTTAGGATTAGGTTGCTACTCTTCCTGTGTCTGAGCTTCTCTATCCTCCAGAAATAGGAATGATATTACAATCTGTCTCCATGAGGATGAGAATTCTGTATTAATTTTTGAAAATAAGGACAAAGATGAGAAGATTGATATCAACGTGCTGCAGTTCATTCAACCTGTGAGGAAATTCTTGTGATTTAAGATTCATTTCTTCACTGCTTTGTGAAAAATACAGTTGACTCATAGATTTAAAATTTAACCCAACCTTCACTGTGTCAGAATGACATACATCAGGTCTGAACACGAAGATACTTGGGAAATGGTTTCTTGGGCAAGAGAGCTCTTCACAAAATCATAGATCATTATTTTGGGGTTTGGGAGGAAAAGGATAGATAAAGGAAAATGAATACTGAATCAATATTACTAAATCCAAAAAACACCTCTTATAAGGATAGTTCAGGAATTACATGGAATTACAGTGCTAGTTTGCAAAACAACCAAATCTAGTTCCCTACATTATAATCCACATACCTGGCAACACCAACAGTGAAAATTTTCCTATTTGAAGTATCAGAAAACCAGTCAACTAATAAATGGCACCCCCCCCTCAAAACAGGAAAAAAAGTCACCCCACAGAAAATGAAAAGTTAGATTTGCTTCCAGTAGGAAGAGAGTTTCAGCTGGTTGTCCAAGAAGCAAACCACCAGCCAAGTTATCAGAAGAAAATTGAAGGTGTTTCTTTCTCTACCAAGTCCTCCCTATTTAAATCACAGTTTAAATGTCCTTTGTTGTCTTTTGTCACTGAGATTCAACACCTGGATGTCAGCACTGATTGCTTCTTCCCTTTATATGTCACCTGGTGCACATCAAAGGCAGGTGATTCTACTCAGAAGTCAGTGCTGCTGGACTTCTTGTCTGAGCATGTCTCAACTCCCAGCTCAGTTTTGGAGAGCCCCTCCACTTTGACCTTACCAACTGTACTGGGTCTAACTGAGATGGAGTTTGTTTCCCCATAGCAGCCCTCACAGTGCTGTGCTTGTCTTTGGTAGCTAGAAGGGTGTTTATAACACAGCAGTATTTTGGAGACTACAGCACTGCCACAGCATCAGTGCTGTCTCTCCAGCATTCTGCCCTCCATCTGGGGGTGGGCAAGATCTTGGGAGGGGACACAACTAGGACAGATGAGCCAATTTGACCAAAGGTATGTTCCATACCAGATGACATCAGCTCAGACATAAAAGCTAAGAAAAGGAGCAGGGAGGTGGAGCATTCATTATTCACAAGGTTTGCCTTCTGGAGAAACTGCTACACGTGCTGGAGCCCTGCTTCCTGGGAAATGGCTGAACATCACTTGCTGATGGCAAGTAAAGAATAAATATTTTTTCTCTTTGTTTGTGCACTCACAACCTTTCACTTTTACTTTAGTAAACTGCCTTATCTCAACTTCTGAGTTGTTTTCCATCTTATTTTCTCTCCCCTGTCCAGGGGATTTTCTTCATGAAGTTACTGTCATCTGTTCTTTCAAAAAGTTTGGCCATTCACGCCTATATGAAATTTGCAGGTGACAAGAGCAGGGGAGTGTGCAGAAAAGATTGTTGCTATCTACAAAATTTTTGTGGTTGAATCCCATACCTTAGAGAGTAAATCACATTCAGTACTAGTTTCAAGACAGCTTGCTTTGTCTGACAGTTTCTGCTGTTAGCTGTGCTTGATACCTGTGCCTGCTTCAGCTTTGGTCACCTTCAGACTGTAAACTTTTGTGGGCAGGGGTTGTATCCTGCTCTTTGGCAGTACCAAGCACAGCAAGGCCTTGAATTTTGCTTGAGGCTTTTGAGCTCTCCATAAAACAAACGTATAGTAACAGCCATAAATGGAAGCTGCTGTTTCCTCGCAGAGCCCAAAGGGTTCTGCAAATGTTACCTGCTCCTTCCTAGAACTGAATCTCCAAAGCTGTGCTGCTTAAGTCTGGTAGATTGCATAGAGACCAGAAAGCCTCAGATTTTGGAAGAGAAACTATATCAGTATCCCCTGCTCTCAGAGAAGGTGTGAAGGGGAAGAAACATTTAAAAGCATCATAAAGGCTGTATACTGGCAATGTTCAACAATTCTGGAAGGTCATAAAGGCCGATTGTGAAGGAGTCATCTATTTACGTGCATATATTGTGGTCATTAGTGATAGTGAGGGAGAAGCTACTGAAGAAAGTACAAAACCAGTTACAATAAGATGCTGTTAACATCCTTGAATTGTGAAGTTAACTGGAATGTGTCAGAGGCTCTTTAAACAATGCAAACTTTGCAATAAGAAGCTGAGAACAGGTTGCTTTTTATAGAGCAGACCTATAGGGTGTTATGAATTCTCTAAAATTCAGATTTTATTAAATAGTTGTGCTTTTCTTCTTTTTCTCTGACAGCAATATAAATGAATTCTAGGTGTTCTGGACCTAGAAAAATGGTTTATTTGGTCCTTCTGTTATTAGGACAGTGATCCCAATTCCTTCAAATTAGAATGCTGTAGAGAGAGTTTGCTGCTAGTCAACATTGTCCTTGATTGCCTATTGCAGTAACATGAAAGTCAGGACAGTGAATCCTGTTAAGGGGAACTGATTTTGACAGGGAGAGGGAGGCATATTTCTTGTATGAACTATGGAGATAATGAAAGGAAAATTGAAACAGAGTTATTTCTAATGACAAGCATAGTAAGATTGGGGGATGGAAAAGTAACTTTCTTTTCTTTGAGTTTTAGTTTGTTAGGAAAGAATAGACTGAACACCTCTGGCAGGCAGGGTGAGAGGTTGCTAAGCTGCTCCTCTCCTATGACAGTCATCCTAAGGCCTCTGTCTGGAAAAGAACCCCACTGTGCGAAATGCATATGTGCACACACATACTCATACACCAAAACAGTCTCTGCACTGAACAACTTTCAGCAAAAGAAAGGAAAAAGTAGCATATCTCAGTCTATCCAGTGTACAGCTTTTCTCTGCTGGCAACAGTCTCTTTGCCCTGTGCACAGAGCCAAGCATAAATGAGCTCTGATCTCCAGGCACTGCCATGTGCACCATTGATAATACTCAACAAAACACTGCTGAAGTACAGTTTTGCTGATTGATGCTGTGTCCTGTTGCAGTAGATCTGTGCCTTGAACAATGACTGACCATCATGGCGACAGTATTCTCGAGAGCAAGTGTCTGGTCCATAGTGGTGTTAAGGTAACACTCACTTTGCAGGACATACAGAGATAAAAAGCAAGGATGATGGCACAGCTAGCACAGAGAAGAGCTAGGTTGAAGTGCAACCAACCTTTCCAGCTTCTCCTTTTGTAAAGTCCCACTGAGTCCTGGATAAATCCCAGTCTTTTAGAACTGCCATTGGCTGTGCAGCTCTTTTCCGTATCTGTAGTAACATTCAAGTATATTTCTCTTAAAGTGGTGGTCAGTTGGCCATGCTTTGAGTGCTATTTCCGATCTTTGCACCCATGGACATGCAGGGCAGCATTGATCAGTCAAACACACAAGCCCATTTGGAACTGTGTTCTTCTCCCTGCTTTTAGAGCAGCGAACCAAAAGCAGAAGAAATATGAAGTACCCCTGGGGAAAATTATGGGACATAGTTACATTTACAGTATCAATCTGCCCATTCTCTGCACTTTATTTTGAAAAGCCAAGTGATTTGCTCAATTTAACATTTTCCTGCTTTTATTTGTTGTTTCTCTTTGCCAGGAAGTCTGTCATCCAGCTAGACCTAGCTAACACCAAGAAAGCTCTGATTGTACCTGCTTTTGAGACCCTACGCTACCGCCTCTCCTTCCCCAAGTCAAAAGCAGAGTTGCTGTCTATGTTGGACATGGGAACCCTCTTCACATTCAGGTAATGAAAAGTACTTTTGAACCTGTGATCATTATCTCTGTTTTTTCTGTTCTTGTGAATGTTTGATTCTTTTCTCTCACTGTCAGCTCCATTAAGAAACCTATTGGAATTTTTTCCGTTCTCATAGAGAGGTAGTGAACAGAATCATATGTGGATATATTCCATCTGTAAGGTCAGAATTTTATCTAGTATTATAGTCCTCTACTGAAGGACTTCAGTTGTTAAATTGAATTTGTTCTTTTTCATCATATTTTATTGCACTACAAAATCAAGCATGACCATTACACTCAAGGGTGTGTAATTTACTTTTTGGCTGCCAAATACTGTCTGGATAGCTGTGTCTTCTTATGTGACCAAAAGTTCTGTATCTCTACTCGTTGGTTCTCTTCCTTACTGACTTACTGGAAAAACAAATGCAAGCTTGCCATATGCTCTTTTAAAGTGTGAAACAGCTGCTTAAATACCTAGAGTTTCTCTATGCAGAGGTAAAAGAGTACTCTGACTAGAAGTTAAGAAGCGAAGAACACCTAAATTTGGAGCTCCTCTCTGAAGCAGACTCCTTTTGTGGCTGTGAACAAGTCAATTCTATTATCTGCCAGACTCTTCAGTTTCAAAATGCAGCTACCAGGGGTTAACTGTCTCTTGGGGGTGTGTGGTAAGGTCTGATTAGCAGAGATTTGTAAAGCATCTCAGTGATGGGAAGAGTACAATGTGGCCTTATGATGTTGCACAGAGAGGGGGCTTAGGAGACCTGTGTTCTCTTCTCAGTTCCACTACTGCCCTGCTGGGAGGTGGTACACGAATCACTTTACTTTCTTACATCTCTGTTCTCCGTCTCTGAAATGCAGGTAACAATGTTCACCTCTCCTTTTTACAGTATTTTGAGATCTAGAGATAAAAGCTATGAAAAAGCTAGGTATTATCCATGGCTGGTGGAGCTCTATATCACCTCTCCCATCCTTCTCTTACTTTAGAGCTTTCCTCACACTTTTTCCATTCCTTATATTACACACCTCTCTTGTTGCAGCAACCACCCTTCCCTCATGTGGTTGCATGCACGTCATAGCAGACAGCTTGTGTGAGTCTGGAAAACATAATTCTGATGCCTTGAAACTGAAAGTCATACCAGTGACTGCCTTGAAATAGAAAGTTGATGCGACTGAGTGTGGCATGCCTCTGGAAAATTACTTAAGGATACTGATAGAGCAAGTACTTTCACTCTGCCATCATTCTTTACAGTCAAAAGATGTAAAAATTAACAAGAGATCTATTGATAAAAAATAATTGTCTCTCCTGTAGTTGAAAGAAAAAATCCTTCCAGTGGAAAATAACTCCCTGAGGATTTTCAGTTGTTACATTCCACCAACAGTCAAATTTTCAGCTTGCACAGCAGTGGCCTTCCACTACAGATTTCATCTTCAAACTATACAGCATGCTGGTGTGTTACATACACAGCCAGATTTCCAAATCCTTTCTCAAGTCTCACTCAGGCAAAAATGTCTTTAACATCAGTGGGAGTTTTGCCAGAACAAGGTTGTTTAAATAAGAATTGAAGGACATGCAGCTGGTGTACATATTAAAGTAGGACATATTTTACAAATGCTTTCCCAGTTTGTTTTGGCTCATTTCATTGCTCAAATCCATCAACAGCCACAAAGCAACTGTGATCTGGGCTGAGAATTTCCACCTCCACCTTCAAGGTGCTTTAATAATGCTGCAATTCGTGGCTGAGCGGGTGGGAGTGAACTGGGGAGGACTGCTGTGACAGTGATTGCTGAGAGTGCCTGCAGCATCCCAGTCCCTCACACCACACGGTAGATTACAATCTTTCCCTTGCTGAAATTGCTTTTGTCACCTCTTTTCCAAATAGTGACCTTTTCTACCTCTGAGCAGCTAAGAAGTACAAAATGGTTCTCAATTACATCCCTTAGTCACCACCAGAAGAGATGTGAGCATCTGCAGTGGGCAAGGTGTGCTGTGTAGAAACCCTCTGTGACAGCAGGATGCTCTGTGCCAGCTTGCTGGCTTCATTTGCAGGTGCTGGCTGTGAGTGTGCCTCACGAGGATGTGCCTGCTCAGTGCCTGGGTCATAGCTGCTGAACCACAAATGTACCATCGACACACTTTCAGGCACAAGGGAAACCACAGCTGGTAGAAGACACATCATCATATTGACAAAACATAAAAAGCAACAACTGATTAGCCAATTAACTGATTGCATCCACAATCCAGCAAAATTTAAGTTTAAGCATCTGAGTACAGGACTCGGGAAGTTTTTCTTTCACCAAGTCATCTTTCTCATTGTAACAGGAAGCTCAGAGGGACAATGCAGAGAGGAATAACACTCTGAGAAGAGTAATTACTTCATTTTGCTAACTTTAGCAAAGTTTGCTATAGTTTTCACATTTTATTTTAAATTAAGCAATCAATAATGCAGGGAAAATTAAACATTTGGTGCAAAGTGGAGGAGGAAGGGGTGTGGTGTTTTCCAGTTGTTTTCTATGAACCGTGGGAAAGAAACTTATAATCATTTTACGGATATAGAATGATTTGTTTTGGATTTGTCAAAACTGCCAGCATAGTGAAAAATACGTTGTTCACAATTTCACAAAGTTCCATAGGGACTCAGTGAGTTTGAGTGTGGCCTTAAAATTCAGTGTGTATTTAAGTCTTGAGTGAGAAGGGCCTGAGCAGGAAAATTGCATTTATTCAGTTGTCCTGTGAGATGGAAGACAAATACAGACAGGGAACCAGTTCTCACAACTGCTTCACGGATAGTAAAGTCTGTTGAAAACAACTCATCCTTCAGTGGCAGCTTCCTCTATATGGACATCCAGGTAATGGTGTCTGCTTATCTTGCCTTGCAGTACCTTTCATGCAGTGATCAGCCATCGGCCAAGTCCTAGTTCCAGCAAGTTATCTGTGTATGTGTGTGTGTATATGTATATATAAGCCCATGTATATTGTATGTACAGATACATATGAATCTCACAATTCTTGTTTTCAGTTTAATTACTCCTTTATAGCTAGTGTGTGCCCAGCTGATTTGAGCATCCTGTACTCATTTTCCTTTTTGTCCTAACCTTAGCCATCCTTTTGCCTTCCTCTTTCCCTTCATTCATATCAGTTACTCTGCAGAGGCAAGTAAATAATCTCTGTTGTTGTTTTGTACAATCAGGTCTGTTCCTTCCTTTCTGCTTTGTTTTCTCTGTGCAATCCCAATTCCATATTTTCCCTTCATTGTTTTTTCACAATTACTTATTTTTCCCTGCTAGTTAGCTCTCTTGGCTCACAGAGGTTATACTTGAGCTGCTGTAAGTGCTTACACTGATATCTCCAAAAAGGGTGGAAAGAAATTGAAGTTTCTTTTGTGGTTAGTGTACTGTTACACCCCTGTTTAAATCAGTGGGAGAGTGTTACTAGAATAACAGCAGCATTTGGCTGTTTCTCTGCAGAAATCTCTCAATTAGCCAAAGTTTGTGTGGGGCTTTGAAGATACAAATCACTTCATAAGTGTTTAGTAGTCATTATTATTATTATTATTATCATAATTAGTTTCAAAATGCCGGAGGTGGGATTTTAGAAGATAGAGCACCCTCCACAGTGCTATATCATTTTAAACCCCGTGTTGTGATTGTATTTTTTTTCCGCATAGATATCTGCACATTAGTGACTGGGTAGGTTACCCACTCATTTCCAAAAGAGGGCAAGAGAAGGATTGAGTTTTTGGAGATGATTCCAAAGGACATTAAGGATTGTAAGCATCTTTGTGAATCTGGCACTGCTTTCTAGTAGTATCTGGAGAATTAATTCTCTGTCAGTTTTTTCAATACAGAAGGGTTTTGTTTTTCCGGGTCCCCAAGGCAGATACCTAAAAGCAATGAAACCTGTTTACAGTTTAGAAATGCAGCCTACAAAGGACCATATGTTACTTGAGACCCCAGTGCTATCCTAATAATTCTGTCCTCCTGCACTGCCCTGAACATGGACAGTGAGCAGAGCTGAACCACCTTTCTGTTTATGTTACTAACCATATGAATATACAGTTCAAGTACAAACTCCTAAGCAGTGATTTTACATCCCTGGTTTTAGCAATGGCTAAATTGCTAAATTGCTAACAATGTTACAAGAATTCCTGGGATTGAAACATTACCTCAGGTCATAATCTTGCAATATTTAATGCTCAAATACCTTCACTTTTGGCATATGAGTCATCCCTGTGAATTCAATGGACCTTGCTTTACAAACTGGCAGGATATTTGTTTTGTCCCTTCTGTTGCATATCTCTCAGTATTATAATACAGATAACTGCTATGCCTTTGTTTCTTCATTTAATCTATGAATCTGCAGAAAGAGCTTGTCTAGTTGGTTTTTGGAAAGTGTTTAAATAAGTGGGCGAGAATCATTGACCCTAGCACTAATGGTGTGGATTCAAGCTGTGCTAGGAAGAGACCTGCTGTGACCTGAACAAGATTAATGAATTATAAAAGGATCTTTTTCTGTAAATCAAATTGATTACCTTACTGAGGATCACATGAGTACTCTCCACAATGCAGAATGTACAGCAGAAAGCCTTTATGTGATATTTTACTTATTAATTTAATTATGCATCTTGGTTCCTGCCATAATAATGGCAGTAATTAATAAAACGGAACATCTATCCAGAGCTCCAGGTGTCTCTCATGCAAATTATAAAATGGCATATAAAACAGATCATGAATGTCACTGTGGTGTAGAAATTTTAGGGACCTTATCTGAGCTACAGATTTTCACAGTGATTTTAGGGCACCGACCGATACAGCCACTTGGTTGCCAGGAACAAGACACAGCACTTTGTAGTGCAGATGAATGTCAGTGTACTTTGTAATTGTTTCTCACATTAGCATGAGGTACTGTTTTCACACTATCCTTCACCGACTAGAGGTGTTTAAGCGCTGAGCTCTGGGAAGCGTGCTGGAAATAGTCCTAGAAATTGCCTCCGATTTGTCCTGAAAATGATGATGTGAACTGGAAGCTAATGTCCTTATTTTTGAGCATTTCATCTAACGAGTAACATTTTGTTACCTTGCCAAGATGTGTTCTATGTAATTACCTCCCCACGTCCCTGCCATTTATGTCTGTTTAAGGTACCACGTCTGGACGAAAGGGCACGCGCCAACCAATTTTGCCAAGTGGCGAACAGCCACCACCCCCTACCGCGTTGAGTGGGAAGCAGACTTTGAGCCATACGTCGTCGTGAGGAAGGACTGCCCGGAGTATGACAGGCGGTTTGTTGGATTTGGCTGGAACAAAGTAGCTCACATCATGGAGCTGGATGCACAGGTGAGGAGATGACACCTGCGTATCTCACCCAGGGCTGTGCAGCAGGGTTGTTAAAATGAAATCTGTGCCCTGTAGAAAGACTTTAGGCTTTACATCACCAAAGTGCTCACCCGGCCGTACTGAGCTCCTTAATGAGCAGTTCTTGAGTTGGGAACACTCAGTTTAATCCTTGTCAAGTATTAAATAGAGAACTAAGTCTAATTTATTTATCAGTGCTGAGAAAGTCGTTTTGCAGTGACACAACCCCTGCAGTGCCCTCCTCCTGACTGAAGCATTGCAGCACTTGTTGCCAGTCCCATTGCTTGGTAGGGAATCTGCAGACACAGCTGGATCTTTTTCAGTTAGACAGAGGTTGGTGAGTCCCAAATGCTAATGTAGAATTCAAAAAGTAATCTTCAATTGAATCCAAGGCAAGCATCTTCAGTCTCTGGCTGGGATTTACAGCATATACCTGAATAGCCAAAGTCTTTACATTTCCAAAGTCTGGGGCTGTGGAGCAGACTTTAAAGGATCCAGGTACTTAAGCCTTGGGCTACCTGCCTCTTGGATCTCTGACTTGGAATGAAGCTGCGAGGCAGAATTTATAAGAATACAGATGCAGAGAAAGATCAGGAGTCCCAGACTGGCACCAGAGCTCTCAGAGCTGCCAAGGTCTGTGCCACCAACCTGGATCTTAGAGGCTGGCAGTGACTACAGCTCCATGGGATCCCAGTGCTGCTGCTCACTGAAATAGCAGAGTTTGCATCGCCTTGCTGTTCTTGGATTTGAAGCTAACCACTGTGCTAATCAGCAAGGTCTGGGTCATGGCATTCCTTTTTAGTTTGGGTTTGTGGTGGTTTTTTTCAGTTTGGTTTCAATCCCAATGCTTGAACTTGTAGAATTTCATGTTAATCAAAAAAATAGGTTTTGGCCATCTGTATCCTCCTGTGATACCTTCTGCTATGAATCTGGAATATAGATGATCCTTCTTCGCTCAATTCTTACAAGTTTATGTGAAGCAGAACAGCACAAGGCATGCACCAACTTAGTGGGAGATTGTGTCTCTAGGGTGTGGGCTACAGTGTATTTGTGCGCAGGCACATATGTGGGAAGGATATTTTCTACTTCTGCTTACAAAACTACATGGTCACCTCGGGCTGGCAGCCACTCACCCTCTGTTTGCAGAAGGGTATTCCCAATAAATTTATACCTACTTATCTTGAGAAAAAAATTGTCCCTTATATTAATGTTAATAATAATTTGCTATAGCAGTGTAATTTTCCAGTGCACTTTCCAAACACTAATCAATTAACCATCAGTTGTGGAGAGTGCCAGGGTAGTTTTTATTATTTGTTAATCTGTGTAACAAGGCTTATGTTCCCACTGGCAGCTCTCATGTAGCACTCAGAATTTAACTCTTCTATGCAGAGAGATCTGCCCAGCAGAGATTCACACATGGGAGATTGAAACATTTTTCATAGCTGATCATAGCACAGATACTTTAAATGATCATTGGGTTGGAACTAACTCTGGGAAATTGTTTTTCTCACTCTTCCAGCCTTGAACACATTATAACATTCAAAGAAAGTTTCATTTTCCTCTGTAGAAACACGGGTGTCTGCCTATTCTCCCTCAAGATCACCCTAGAGGAGACATGGGATCGCACAGCTACCTTCCCCTGTGGTATTCCTCTGCTTTAGGGTGTCCACAGACACAGCTGCCAGCTGCTTGGCTGGCTTCATTACCAGTGGGCAGAGCAGCTTCTCAATTAAGTTATTTCACTGCTCCTCGCTGCTGGAGTGTCTGTCAAAAGGTCTGTTCCAGACCCCTTACCAAGGGCCTGTGCCGCTGCTGTCCCTCAGAGCAGCACACCACATGGAGACAATTGTCATTGTTATTCTGGGAGCGTGCAGGTGCCCACTGAGCTGGATTTTGCTGTACAAATACAGCATCCAAATACAAATATGAGTCTCCATCTAAAGAATTTATAATCTGTGAGCTAGGTTATTGCATTGCCTTCTCAACAGGGGTTTCCACATAGTAGGGATGGATCATTAGGAAACCTTTCTCTGCTCTTCCAGTCACTGTGGAACTAGACTGAGCATCCCATTTTCCAGGACCCCAGCCCAGAGTATTTCAAAGGGGATTGTTAGCAGCAGACTCATAATTTCTTGGAAGGCTTTATGTGCCTGAAGACCTTTCAGAGGGATGGGAACACCGCCGTGCTGAACAGTTTGCACTGCAGAGCATAGACACTCCCTGACCTGCAGTATTACAGACTTGAAATGCAAGCAGAGAACAAAGAAAAGGTTGTATGAGGGGGATGCATCTTCCTCTGCAGCTTTGACTCTTAGTTTTAAGGTCCCTTAGAGACATAGTTTGTGGTTTATCAGCTCTCCTCACTCCATGGTGCCAGCCTTTGTTGTTGGGATTAATTCCCGATTAGTTTTAAGCATCTTCCAACTAAATAAATTCTGCCTGTGAGCATGAGATTATTTTGCTCTTGCTATACAGAAGCTCAGTACCCCATTCCCATTTATGACAACATTGTAAATTGGCACAAAGACTTACCTCTTTAGCACTGTCTGTCAGGTAACGGGCTTTCTCATAAGGAGAAAGGAGCACCCATATGGCATCTACTCCTAGCTGTCCAACACATGCTGCTGCTTCATAGGTGACTTTGGGAAGGCACTGCAGCCTTAGCTATACTTTGGGCTCACCAATACCACTGCCTGAGTTGGAAAATGGATCCACGTTGTGTTCTGTTCACTTTTTTCCTGTCTTAATTTAGCTTCATTTTTTGGCTGTATTGCTCAAACACTTGGTTTCTGGTAGCATTGTAATGCAGCAGCTTTCAGTCTTCTCTGCCTTGATCATAGTTTGTTAGGTGAAGAAAGGCTGACAGGTGAAACACTAAAGTTTATTAGCACAAGTTGTTGTCTCCCAACAATCTCTTTCCCTACTAAAGCATTTTGGAGTACTCTGCCTTGGTACTGTAGATACTCTGTGTCTCTGCACAGACTCCTAAATCTACAAGTGACTGGGCATTGCAAACCAGGGGAAGTTGTGCACCACTGTTTTGAAGCCAGCGTGCTCTGTGGCTGTTCTCTCCCTGACCAGAGTCTTATGTAGAGATGGTTAATGAGTCAATCCAGCAACAGCTGTAGATAGAAACTGTGTGAAAACAAAAGTAAATTTGCCTGTGGGGAATTCAAAGTTTCTTTGTTATTTGCATCACATACAACTTGGATTTCTTGAAGTTCCATATGAAAAAAGAGGTAGCATCCTGGTGGTTAGAGTGTTTTGCTTGGCTACAGAGTAATGAGGTTCACGTTCCTTTTCTACTCAGTTTCTTGCACAAGATACCTGCCTGTTGCACATCATAGGATGTGAACTAGTGAACTTTCAGCTTGTCTAAGGATCAGCCTTTTTCTAGCTTTACTCTAATAATTTAACTATAAAAATAGAAAGATTCTGACAGGAGTATTTGAGACTTAAATGAACCATTGTTTTCTAGCAACAAAAATTGTCAAAGAACTTGGTCGGATATAAATAAAGAGAATTAGTAAAGTAGTTTTACAGGAGAAGGAGAAGTAGCACAGTATCTCAGACTTTGTGAAAAACTTAATTTACATAAAAACATCTCAAAGCATATGGAATTAGCAGGTTCATTTTCGCACATTGCCTATAAATGATACCATCTTCTCCCCTTATTTCATGTTTATAAATAGTTTTGGACAGTTTTGTCTCTGTAAGTATCTTAGTATATAGACAAAGCAACATATGTTGTGCAGTTTTGCCTTTGTAAATATGGCTTATTCCAGCATCCCAAGCAAGATAATTTGTAGGGACAAGGCCAGGTTTTTGCGTGGACGCTTGAGACCCATGCCGTGTAGTCACAGTTGTGTTGGTTGCGAGCACACTGCTGCAAAGTGTGTGCTGCAGACATGGCTTCAGGTGTGCCTTTGGTACTATTTCCCCAGTATTTGGCTTATATGAAGTAAAATGTTTTAAAACAGTTGGGTTTTTTTACATTGAAAGAGGTTACTCAGAGATATGGTGGATGCCCCATCTCTGGAAACATTCAAGGTCAGATTGAATAGGGCTTTAGGCAACCTGATCTAGTTGAAGATGTCCCTGCTCATTTCAGGGGAGTTGGACTAGATGACCCTTAAAGTTGCCTTCCAACCCAAACCATCTTAAGATTTTACAAAAAGAAAAAGTAGATCTTTCATCAAAGAAAAAGCTACTTGGAAAAAAAAAAGGCTTATTTGAGATACCTGCACAGGTTTGGTTTTTTTGAGACTCACACTGCACTGTTACTTACTGGAGCATGTTTGACTGTGGAGGTACAGGAGACATGCATTGCAAGAGGACTGGGGAACACCCTCACAGTCAGTGTCTTTCTCCCCCAGGAGTACGAGTTCACGGTGCTGCCCAACGCCTACATGATCCACATGCCGCACGCCCCCAGCTTCGACATCACCAAGTTTCGCTCCAACAAGCAATACCGCATCTGTCTCAAGACCCTGAAGGAGGAGTTCCAGCAGGACATGTCACGCCACTACGGCTTTGCAGCCCTCAAATATCTCACGGCAGAGAACAACAGCTAGCACCACAGAGCCCGTGTACGGGAAACAGGGACACCGGAGGGAAGAGCCACTCAGCGTGTGGGGCCCAGTCATCAAATTTTGAACTGAGAAATACTTTCTGTTTTTATATCATACTTGGCAGTTCTAACAGTAGAAATTTGAAGTGACATGTCTTCGGACTGTGCTCATTCGTCCCTTCCCCAATTACCCCAGGCCTTTTGGCTTTAGCATTCATGAGGTGTCTGCGAGTAGGGCCGGCCAGGCGCCCTCCATGCCACTGAAGGTGGGGACTGGGCAGGGACTGGGAATGCACTCCGCTCTCTTAACTGCAGAGCAAAGACAGACCTTCAGAACATAGAATTTCATGTTGCTATTTAATAATTTGACATGCTTTTTATCTGTAAAGGAAGATCTTCGGGTCGCTGTCCTGTGAATTTCAAATCTGCACTACTCTAAAAGGGAACTTTCACCTGTGAACTTTCACAGGGGCCCTGTTAACATGGATGACCTTGCTAATGCAGGATGAGCCAAAGGTCTGAATTAGCCTTGAAAACACAGGGGACATTTATACAATACTGCACTCCCGAGAAGCTGTGTTACTGGTTTAGGTGTATACATGATATCGGTTGGTCTTTTATTCTCAAATTAGTTGTTTTATCAGGAAAATCCCCTATACCCCACCCTGCCTTTGCCCCACTCCTAAATGCTGCTCCTTTCCTTGCCAAGGAAATGTCTCCCTTGTGTTTCTTCCCCATCTTCAATTTTGGTGGACCAGTAAAGAAGATCAGTAGCTCTGTTAGAAAGTGAACAGAACTTGTCACTGTAAGGTCTGTTTTCACCAGAGCAACTTGTTCACATGTGTCTACTAAGATAAAGGGTCTGACTCTAACTCTTTATCTTTTTCAGGCAAGAATTGGATTTTACCTATAAGGCACATTGTACCAGGGGAATATTGATTTCTAGGCTCATTTCAGTGCTGCCCAAACGTGAAGGCTCTGGGCCTTAGGCTTTAAGTGGACTTCTTTGCTGAACAGGGAATAAAAACTAGTAAAAAGGCAACTAGTAGCCTTGGTGCTCTCCTGCTGCCTGCTGCAAGGTCTCAGAACTACTTCGTTAAAGGAGTTTATAATTAAAAGGAGCAGAACTGTTAGGAATAAACTCCCCATTCGAGGGGGAGAAAAGAATGTGTTGGGAATCTGAGTGAGTGTTTGCTTGAACGTGGACTGGTCAAGTTCACACCATCGGTACACACAGGAGTACGCTGGAGGGCGAACAGGAAACCTAACAAGCAAAATGCAGAAAACAAGACACTGGACTTTTTGCCATTTTCTTTATCTTCAGTATTAATGTTGTGTTTACATGGGATGAAGAGATGAGGTTTAATGCACTACCCCTTGCAGGGCTATTTGTAATTTCTGTTGCAATGTTAATAGAGAAAGCAGAAACAACTCAGTGAGAAATGTGTTCTGTCTCCCTACCCCAGATCCCCATACAACCACACGTACCAATACTACTGCCTGAGTTGGAAAATGAATCCACATTGCGTTCTGCTCATTTTTTTTCCATTTTGTTTTTCAGCCACTGGATCTTCTACTTTCCTCCCCACCTCATCCCTCTAGAGCTTGGTTTTATTTCTAACCTGACATTTTGTGAGAGCTTTCTGTTACGGTGGAAACCACGCAGTTTAAACCAGACATTTAAACTACAAATACCAGTTCATCATTCTCTGTATATATAAGAAAATCCAAAAAAGGCAACATCTTTGAGAAGAAATAAAAAGGGGCGGGAGTCTATGTGTAGTTTTCACTTTTTCTCCTGGGAGTGTTGGCTGTGTAAGAATATATCACTGCATAATTTTCCAAAGAGCTTTTTTTCTCTTCTTAATAGCTTCATGTAAAGATTTACATAAAAAGCTAGAAAGGGCAGGGAAGAAGTGAGTGCTCAGTTCTGGCTAAGATATATTCTTTTAAAAAAAACAAAATCTTAACTCCCCAGATCCCGTATTATTCACCACTAAGGGCTCAGGTCACTGTGCTTATTGAGAATGAGAAGAACCCTGCAGCACAGAGTCCTGTTGATTAGCTAATGTGCAGAAAGGTACCAACAGCTGGCCTGAGAGAGTCTGACACTGGTTATACCTACATAAAATCTCCAATCAGAGCTTCAGTGTGGCCACCATTATGTTTCATGTGTATTAAAAACTTTCATTGCCAGATGTACATTTCTCCTTGCCCTGCAGCAGCACAACCTGTAGCACAGACCTGTATATTATTTGGATGTACCATTATCAACATTCTTCTCATTATTCTCTTCTCACTGGTCATGTGATGAGAATGGGGGGAGCAAGGAGGTAATAATTTGCTACTTGCCTGACTGTACAGTGAGTTCTGGAACCTCCGGGGTAGACTTAGGTGTGCTGGCTGGTGTAACCAGCTCAAAGATTGGTAGTAGGTACAAAGAGACCCTTTTTTTTCCTTATAGACACTGTACTGATTTGTATCTGTCATGTCATGTTTGTGCTTCATAATTTGAGAGGTGTGGGGATTAGGTTTTTTTAGTACATTTCATCCAATTTACCTAATAGCAAGTTAGGATTACATGTCTGACTGTAACTGCCAGGGCTCCTCCAACACCATGAAAGAAAACACCACTGACAACAACAAAAATCCCCAACTTAGTTATAACTGACTGTCTTCCAGTCCTCTGCCGTAGTATTTGCTAGCAATTTTGTTACTTAATTATCAGTTTTCTCCTGAAATCTTCAAGAAATAGCAGAAAAACCTGGTGACTTAATGCCTTTGTTTTATTGCTTTGTTCCACCAACTTCTCTCTTGAGTCTTCAGTCTATGACCTCTCCTTATCTCTGATATTTGGAAAGTGTGAGTCTCTCATTTAGGTATCACTCCAGCACCCTCTCAGTGAAGACTGATGCAAATAAATCATTTAGATTCTTGGCATTGTCCTTATTGTCTTTAATTCTTTCTTCTACTTATTGTTTGGGGTGGCCTACCAGATATCTCCACTTTTCTGCTTTTGCGTACTGAGCAAATGTGCATTTTCAGCTTTAACTTCCTACTGTTTGCTCTTCAGACTCTCTCTTAGCTTCCTCAAATTCCATCTTAACTATTACATACCTTCCTTTCAGCTTTACAGTGTTTTATTTCCATTCTCTGAAGGTTTTCTATTTGGCCCGAAAAACTTCTAAAATTTCCAATTGAGTCATATCAGCATTTCCTTGTCTTCCATTCATCTAAGGGATACAATACTCCGTGGTTATTTATAAGACCCTTTCCATTTTTAATCTGAGGATTTCAGTTTTTCTGTTCTTTTTAATTAGGGTCACCAATTCTTCCTTTAAAAAGATAAAGAGGGCTTTGTTTTTAAATTTACATTGAATTTCACCTTACTAAGTTTTGAGACTTTGTATTTTCCTCTTTAACCTTTCTAAATGCTAACCTTTTCCTAATCAAGGGATCATAAAAATTCTTTTGTTCCTCTAAATTGGGCTCTTATCTTGACACATTTTGTTCTGTGTCTCCCTTTTCCCTCTCCACTACAAAACATTGAAACACAGGAGTCACTCGAAACTTTTCAAGTCCCAAAGCCTGAACTGTGTATTTCCCAGCACCTTTTGACATCCCACCACATTTCAGGCTTAATTATTATTCCAAATAATAATCTGATGCCTGGCACACAGTCCTCCTGGTTTTGTTTTCATGCTTCTCCCTTTGATATAACAGGCTTTCCAAGTTTAAGTTTTGGGCAAAGCACTTATCTTTATTTAATACCTTATTGTAACCCTCTAATAGGTTTCCATGATTTTTCTCTGTCGTCACAGTATATATATAGCACCTTCAAAAGTTTGGCTGTAGTTTCCATCCTATCAATTTCTAGCTAAGGGTCATCTACCATTTGCCTATCTGGCAGACCTAGAAAATGTCTTTGTTTATCCTGGGTAGTCCTTAATATCTATCAGATTTTTTTTCCCAAATCCTTACTTTTAGTAATTTCTTCCAGGCTTGCTAGTTTCCTGTGTGAGCAATCTGGTTCCACTTTACAATTTTTGGTTTTTTCCCATTTATAATCGTTGTCTTGGACTCTGTGATTTATCAGGATTTAGCAGGTGTACCTGCAGTTCCATCACTTTTGTTAGACTGAATATGACATATACTCACTAAAGTACTAGTAGACTTCATATCGTTTGTTGGTAAATCATAAACTGCATTTTCCTTTTACTGCAACAAGCAGAGACACTTCATAGTGTTATTTGCAGTAGCTGTTGCAGCAGAGTAAGCTCTGTGTTAGAGGGAGAAGCACAAAAACCTTGTCAGGATTGTAGCTACTGTTTCTCTCCGCAGGGAAAAATAAGGCCCTAGCACAGCTGAACAGTTTTATAAATGCCCTGCACAAAGCACACTGCACATTATTTTCTGGTAGGTATAATCGTACATAGTCCAATTAAATATGAAAAATACATTTTTAATGTTCTCATTTTTATGTGCAATTCTATCCAGAAGATAATGCATTTCCTCCTCTATCTTGCCAGTTTCCCCCATTACTCCAGCCTGCCTAATAGCCCCATCTGTTTTCAGCTGAGGAAGATTAATGACCAGAAGCACTGGGAGTCCTGGCAAATCAGCAGAGATATTACTCTTAGGCATTGCTCAGGACATTTGTTCCTACTCTGCCAGATACTGTATGGGTGTTCCTCAGGTTTCAGGGCAGCAACAGCAGAACACAGCAAGCTCAGCAAGTGGGGTGAGTGTCATTATTTATGAACTTCAACCAAGTCTAATACGTTCAATGGTGGGAGTGTTAAAAAGAGAATGTATCATTGTTAGCTCAAAAAATATTTCAATTTTAGGAAAAAAAAAAAGCATCTAAGTTTCTTCAACTCCAGTGAGTGAGACTGGAACAAATAAGTCACTAGTAGACAATGCCAGCCAATAATCTAGTATTTCCACTGCAGTATTGAAAATGCAGAAGAATTGATAGCTAAATTAAGTTATTTTTACAGTAGTAATTCATAATGTATATTTAGATGATGTGTTTACATCCAAACACTTCAGCATATTGGGGATTGTTTGAAGACTGCTACTTTGTTTCACGGCATAAAATTGCTTGGAAAAGCTATTTATTTGTGTTGTCGATCATATGAACATATTTGTTCAGACATGTTAGTGGATACTCCAGTGGAAGTGTTAGCTCATTGAGGGTGTCAGGATGCAAAAGATCTGAAGTCCAGGGTAAGAGCTTAGTATCTTTTCATTCATTCTGTATAGTTTACCCTCATATGAGGAGAATAGTTTCCTTACTCCCACCAAATTACTATTTTTGTAGGGTTAAAATGTCCTAAAATTCTGCAGTATGGATCCGTGGAAGTCACTGTGCAGGTAGCAAAGGCTGCATTTGAGAGCTCCATGGTCCATTGCCATGAGACACAAGATTTCATTCCAGAAGAAATAGTTCTGATCTGGGGGTAATTCTCTGACAAGGGATTTAGGCACCCTACCCCCACCAGATATATTCAAGAAGAAGTCCCCAAACACATAAGGCCAAGTAATTCAAGCCAAGCTAAGCCTGTTTCTCAGTATTACAGCAACATAATTCTCAGTCAGCTGGATGTGTGAATTTTCAGCTTTAGCCATTATATCTCAAGACTTGTGCAAAGGCTGCAGAGTCAGCAGAGTTGGAGGATCTGAAATTTCAAGTTGCTGGTGGACTTAGTGATTTGCTCATACGACTTCTTGCTGTCCCCTGGCACGTATGTAATAGGACATAGTCTACACAATTATTTGCTCGAGGTTTTTTTAGAGGATTTCTCTTTCATTCTATGCACAGAGTGAATGATATTCAGGTGAATGAAGCAGCTAGGTGATATTTCTTTTTACTTTTGCTTTCATTGAGCTTTTCATAATATGATAGCAGCCTTGATTCTGAGCAAAGTGAGACTTTTTTTTTCAGAGGATAGGTATAAACTGTGATTTAGGAAAGTCAGTTATCCCCCATGCTCTCAGGCTTTCTAAGCAGAACACCTGCAGTTCTGTTCTACAAGCTTTTCTTATTTGGAGGGATCCTGTGGAGCTGATGGAAATTATACATTCAGAGGCCTTGTAGCACTCACCCCTAGCCTATGAATGCTAACATCTGAACTTGCAAGAGTGATGAATCCCAGCTCTGTCCAAGCATGTCTGCTCCATCACTGGGAGCACTCTAGAGGCTATCAGCAGTCTTGTCAGGTAAGCACTGAAAAATGGAGTAAATAATTGGAGGTATGAGGGGTTTGTTTTAAGTAGCCAGATTTCTAGAGGAATGAGGAAGACATAAGCATTCTGAAGTCCCTCTGAAGATCTGTTCACAGGATCTGTGGGTTGGACTAAGCTCATTCTTGGATTTGAGGCATTTCTTACCCAACACTGGCCAATGTGGCCCACCTGGAGTAAATTCTCTGGATTGTAAAATTCATGGAAGTCAGCACTGAGATTAAACCATTCTCAGCTCAAAGATCTTTAATTTGTTTCATTTCTTTGGATCCCCACACTGATCTCTTGGTGCTCAGGAAAAAGGAAAAAAAGAAAAAAGATAATAGCAAAGATAACAGTAGAGTTCTGACTACCCAAACTTTCTTAAATTGTCAGCACGGAGGTCAATGGTTGGGGCAAAGCTAGAGTTAGTGAGGTTCTTAAATTTCTCCTTTTGATCTGCCTGTGGAACTGTTGTTCCAGCAGAACTCTCCAGTGATGCTATAAGGAAAGGAAAAGCTCTCCAATGCTGATTGATCCATGAACTCTTCATCCAGTCAGAACCTGAAGAAGCAGCACCACTGTCTGCTTTTGAGGTTTTTTTAGAAGGCAATAGTGAGTTCAGTCTGAAATCTATTATTCTGATGATAAAACTTTTCTCAGCTTTTCTGCATTTTACATGTATACTTGCTGTGAGTGACAGGGGCCCCTTGGGGTTAGGAAAAGATGGGACTCAGCAGTTTGCTGGTTCAGAATGAGAACAAGATATGTGTATATTCTCCCTTGACACCTTGCACAGTGCTCACTAATTATATTAGCACCAAATAATCCAGCTGACCTGAGACTCAGTGTTTGGGCTGGACAGTAAGCTTCTGCTGTGTTGATAAGAGAACAGACAGATAAGCAAAATTATGCTTTCTGTCCGTTACACCAATGAATATTTCTATATGGGTTCAAATGGCTCATGGAAAGTTTACATATTGTGTTTTTCACCGTTAAGGTTTATTCAAAGAATAGAAAAGTCACTTAAAAAATAAAAACAAACAAACAAAAAAAACCCTATGAGTTCCATAAGGATCCACAAGGATTAGCATTCACAGAGAGTCACCAGTGCAAAATATTTTTCAAGTTCACCTGCCAACTTTTGTCATGAATGCAGAGAATAGAGGCACCACTGTCTTCTTTCTGCTTATACTTCATAGAGCAAAACAAATGCATGTACTACAAGCAACTCTCTGAATCAGATCACCCAAGACACAAATATTTTCTGTTTTGTTGCTTTGATTTACATTTTCATATGTGAAATTGAAAGTTTGCAAAAACTTTTTTATTCATATTGTTCAATTTAAATATTTATATTCACTGTTGAATATGAGTCAGCAGTGCCCTGGCAGCCAGAAGGGCCAACTGTGTCTTGGAGGGCATCAGGCAAAGCATCACCAGCTGGTTGAGGGAGGGGATTGTCCCACTCTGCTCTGCACTGGTGTGGCCTGACCTTGAATGTTTTGTGAAGTTTTGGGTGCAACAATATAAGAAGGATCTAAAGCTGTTAGAGAGTGTCCACAAAGATGCTGAAGGGTCTACAGGGGAAGCCATACAAAGGGTGACTGACATCACTTGACTTCTTCAGCCTGGAGAAGAAAAAACTTGAGGGGAGGCCTCACAGCAGCCCACAGCTTCCTTACAAGGGGAAGCAGAGGAGCAGGCACCCATCTCTTATCTCTGGTAACCAGTGACTGGACTCAAGGGAGTGGCATGAAGCTATGTCAGGCTTAGATTGGTTATTAGGAGAAGGTTCTTCACCCAGAGGTGGTTGGGCACTGGAACAGGCTCCCCAGGTCACAGCACCAAGCCTGACAGAGTTGAAGTGCTTGGACAACACTCTCAGGTTCATGGTGTTGTTCTTGGGGCTGTCCTGGGCAGGGCCAGGAGTTGGACTTGATGATCCTTATCCCTTCCAACTCAGGATATTCTATGATTCTATTCTGTTTATTTTCTTAATATGTTATAGCTTTCTTCTGCATCTGTCAGGCTTGAAAACATTACAGCATTGTCTGTGGTGAAGATAGAATTGAGGGATTGCTGAGGTGTCCTCAGCATCATGTTAGTGCAGAAACAGCCTTTCCTGTAGCTTGTGGGATTTTTTTTTCTTTCTTTGTGCTATCACAGGTTTTAGTTCTACCTTAGCAGTATCTCTTCCAGTAAGTGTGAAAGTCTACTGGCTTATTCTAGACCACTGCATGAGTTCATTACTAGAGCAATGTTTCTGGCATCGCACCTGAGCCTCCACACAAATTTATTCTGTAGAGTTTTTTTCAATTTTAATCTTCAAGACTACACCTGGGAGAAAATTCACCAATTTGAAGCTCTAACAATGGGTTCACTATGTTTTGTTTTATTTTTAACATATTTTGTTCTGACTGCTGTCCATGACACCAATAGATCTTCCAGAAAAATATCATTTTGAGAGGAAGAGGGTCATTGTAAATAGTCCAATGGGACTTAAATCAGCAGCATTTATGAGGGTAAGTAATCTTCTCAAGCCAGAAATTTTACCACATATTTCTACTATGTACTGATTTCCTGCTATTTCTGTAAGGCTCCATTTCATGATCCTTCTTCAGCCAGCCCATTCTTGGGTTTTCCACTTTTTCTCTATATTCCTATCTGCTACACCCCTAAATCCACGTTTATATCAGCCTTAGGTAGGTGTTGACAGGTATTTTAAAGACAATATAGCCAGCTTTCACAGTGCTGAGATGTGATTATAACTGTTACATAGAAAACAGACTCTCTTAAACCAGCAAGAACATGTTTAAAAAATAAGAGAAAAAAATACTTGGGCTTCTGAGAGAGAGCAGAGGAAAGCCTTAGGCCTTTAATATTATTAATACCAAAGCAAGATCAGGTTGCTTAGGTCCTGACACATTACTAAGAGTTGGTAGCCATGCATAAGATGACAATGGTGATTATGTGTGGCTCTGGAAGAAACAATGACTTCAGAAGACTTGGCAGAGATCATTTAGTCTGAACCATTGGTTTCACTTTTTCTATCCAAAAAGCATTTGGATTGTCCAATGCAAAAAGCATTTGGATTGCCTTTCACAAAGCTGTCTCCCAGTAGAATGGTTTCGAAGCATGGACAGGCACTAACCAAGTCTATAAACACTCCCTTTCTTTCCAAACGCACTGTAGGTCATGTTGGCATCACTTACTCCGTTTCTCCTCCCTACAGCAGAGTACCTGAAGAAAGGTAGCACCAAAGTGTTCTAAATACCAAATGTACCTTGCAATGCTAGAATCTTTAGGTTTTTAGATGCACAGCTGGAACCATTCATGCCCAGATTAAGCCCCTGTAACTTGGCAGATGTCTGAAGCCCACAGAGTGGGAGTTTGTCACAGAGTCATAGAATCATTTAGGTTGGAAGAGACCTCTAAGATCATCAAGTCCAACCATAAACCTGACACTGCCAAGTCTGCCACTAAACCATGTCCCTAAATGCCACATCTACATATCCTTAAGTGCCTCCAGGGATGGTGACTCCATCACTTACCTGGGGAGTCTGTTCCAGTGCTTGACAACCCTTTCAGACCCTGTAGTTCCCTTTGATAGTCAATGTAGTGAGAAGGATTTTTGAAGGGGGCATTTCGGTTCACTTAAGCCCCACATCACCCTTTGCTCTGTGACTATCAGAAAAGGTTACAGTGCCTCAGGTGTGTACCTGCCCAAAGTAACACAGGATAAATCTGGGCCAGTGAGCATCAGTTTTAGAGTTACCACCTACTCATTTAAGATTGCAGGTGTCAAAATCCCCTGGAAACTAAGCAGTAAGTGCTACAAGGCCTTATACTCAATATTAGCTGACAAACTTGAGAACAACAGTCTCTATGATGGAAAATGTGTGGGCGGATCAGCCATGGGAGGGGAGTGATTTGTGGACTCCTGAGACTGTGCTACACATTGTGACAGACAGCTTGTGCTAACAGCCGGGAAAGCACTCATTTTCAGCACAAAGTTGTGGGCTTCATTATGGTGGTTAGAATATTACCCCTGTCATTGCTGTCCAGGTTGTGCGAGGTTTTGCACTATATTATGCAGAGAGCAGGGGCACCATTTTCAATGTGTCAGCCAGCAGATTTCCAAAAATGCAGATAAGAAAGCTGTGAGAATGAAGGGGTAAAAAACCTCACCAATGTCTTTTCATGTGTTTTTCATTCTTAAGACTCAAACTTCATTCCTTTTCTGTCATGACCAAGGCGATTCTACATTCTCCAGGGGAAAACTGGAATGTCGTGACCTTTAGGGTGAACCAGGCATGAAGCAAGACTTGTTATTTTCTCGCAAGGTTTGTGGCACTGAAGGGTTTTAAATGTTCAACTCACTACCCTGTCAGTATATTACCTGGCTGGCTGTCCTTCTGCTTCAACTGATACCAAACTCTTTTGTTTCTCTTCCCAGCTTGGGGAAACATTTCAGGAAAGAAAACAGAAAAGTGTGTCTTCTTTCCTTCTGCTGCCCCATCTCCCAAGCACCTCCGTCCTCCACGATCAGACTGAGGCAACTTGCATTTAACACAAAACACTTAATTTACACATATGCTTCAGTCCACGTGTAAGTTTTCTAGGTGACAAGTCTATCGGGGAAAATGCTGTTTAGATTGTGTGTGCAAAGTAAATGGCTTGTAAATACTTGGAAAAAAAAAAGGTTAATTTTCAGTTGTGCAATAAACTTGTGAAATAATCCTCTCAATTCCTTTCCAGTGTCTGACTTGACACGTGCTGGTTTCAGGAGCATACCAACTGTTGTTTCTTCAGACAGGATCAAAAAGAGAGAAGTCATAGACTGTTTGGCTTTCATCTTTAAGCTTTTTATTGCTTTTAATTTTGCATTGTCATCCCCTTTAAGTTGGTTTATTCCTCCAACTCTGGTTCAATCAGACACATTAGTACAAGGCTGTTCCCACTGAAGACAGGTGAGTCATCATCTCCTCGGAGTTAGTCATATGTTTATCTGCTTTACTTGACCTTGACCTTCTTCCTGCTGTTGTCTTTCTGTAATCAAAGACAAGACTTTGGCAGATGGGGGCAGTTTATTCAGTTCATACATAAGCATGACAACAAGCAGATGAATACTCTACAATGAATGACAGCTCACCACCACCATGGGAGCAAATCCATCCAACAGGTTAGTATTGCAAAAGCTTTGTCTGCTGTGTGGCAGCATGGATTTTCCATTATATAGGAGTCCTTCTCTTGCTAATAGAAAAAAACTATGCAAAACACAGAAGCCTTCACTTTTCTATTACTTAACCCTTGCTGATAGGTTTTTCAGGTGCTCAGAGCTGCAACTGCATCTCTCCTAATCTAACTTACAGCTGGTATATCCTTTAGCACTAATAAGCAGAACAGGGGGACTACAGCTCTCTCCTTTCCTGCTTCCTTTCTACTTGGTGGCCCAAGGGCTCTCTGCAGAACTTCGTTATCAAGAAAGGAGATGGGGGCACGAATGGGAAGACAGGTCAGCTGCATAATCTTTTGTGGTTTGTTTTGGTCTTTTTAAACAAAATTCAAAGTAGATTCTACTATAAAAGTGTGTTTGCTGAGAATGACAACATAGAATTTACATTTATAGGGACATCATAAAGAATAGGATGTCCCTGGATGTAGGATATGGAGCCTTTCTCAAAAATTGAATAGAATATGAACAAAAACTAATATAAGTTGGGAAACTAACTGAATTTCTTGGGTGTTTTTAGGCAATTACAGAATCAAATAGATTTTTTCTGGTGCAGGAACAGGCTGGAAGTCCAACAAGAGCTGGAAAGAAAAGGTTTTAGATACATTGTCAGAAATATAAATACTTGGAAAAGTATATATACATAAAAATAGGTAGAAAAAGAATTCACAGAAAAGGAAGATGAAGGGCTGGAAATGTGCAAGTGGAAGTTTTATAAGCTGAACTTCACAATCATTGCAGAGAAAGAGAGAATCTGCAGGTGTAACTCCCTTAAATTCCCTGACTTTGCAGCAAGGCAAAGCTGGCTTGCTCTGGGAAATGAATGATTGAGCAGGTGCAAGAATTGAATGACATTAACTGTGTAAATAGCAGTCGCTTTTCAATAATCAGGCTCCCAGAAGGGATCCTCTGCCTATGCCATTTCCATATTACCCACAACCCTTCCTATCCATCCACCTCTGACAAATCAGTAGTAAAGAGCAGTGCTTCCTTTAGGATTTATGTTAAATATTAATACTCCAGGACAGATGCAGTAGGGCAGATTACAATGTGTTTAGCCTGGGGTCAGGAATTATGTTTCATCAAAAGGGGGTATGTTGAGCTCCCAAGACTGAAGCAGTGAAGGGGCATTAACCCATTTCTGTACCAACTCTCCCCAAGGCTCTCTCTTTCTCTCTCTCTTTTTCTCTCTCTTTCTCTCTCTCTTTCTCTCTCTCTTTCTCTCTCTCTTTCTCTCTCTCTTTCTCTCTCTCTTTCTCTCTCTCTTTCTCTCTCTCTTTCTCTTTCTCTCTGTGATTCCTGGTGTAACTACATTAATCCTCCAACTGCTTTAAAAGAGGAGTTAGCTAGTGACTGGATGGGATGGACGGATGTGGGATGTGTGTGTGTTTGCTGCCTTGGGGTATTTTACACTGCTCAAAAGCCAGGTGTTAGGCTGGAGATGTTGATGAGAATTCTGCCACACATTTAGCCATTAAAATAGCATGAAAGAGGGTTATGTATATCCCTAGTCTGCCTCTTGAGTTTCCATCTCAGGTTTTCACAGACCAAATCTGGCTACCATTTCTTCACTTTCCTGTCACACAGCAGCACAGCCTATTGTGTGTGCTATTCCCTTGCCCAAATTATACCTC